TTTTAGACACTAATACCGTTCGATTTTGGTCAGCACTTTACATAAAAATCAGTTTTTGATCAGTTGAAAGTATCTACATTTTTAAAATATTAATTTCAGTTCTCTAGTGCCAATATTTTGATTGGAAAGCATTTACATAGTGCTTCACTGTTTAGAAGTTTCTATAGGTATTGTAATGTTGGTTCGTTCATTTTAGTTCTTTGGTGTCAATTTATCCTTTTTGAAACACCCGTATTGATTAACTTGACTCCACTGAAAAGTGTAAATGGTTCTCAACACTGACTTTTAGTTTTAAAAGTTGCTGTAGAATGTTCGACGATCGATAAACAGATACTTTAATACGTACGCGTAGATCTTGTCGCAGCTTAAAATTTATAGTTAACGTGAATCTTCTCCTTTGTTTGAACCGTTCTTTTCAATGGTTTTCGACTATGAAAGTGATTCTAAAGTGTAAGGTTTTCGGAAAGGTCAGTAAATGCATCAGCAGACATTCTCTTTGAGAAGAATATAGACGTAACGGATGTAGACCTTCGACTTTGAAACCGAGTGCGGTATAATTGGTTTACGAACGAAGCGAAAGAACGCTAGATATGACACCGAGAAAGAGATGGAGTCGTAAAATAAGATGGATCGTTTAGTATGAAGCTGTAGAATTCTCGATTTTCAAGGAGACTCGGTGATTAGACTTCTCGTTACATCCGTAACCTGTTGGTTTCTTACTTTCTTCAACTTACTGCCTAGCGAGTGGACATCTCGCTCTTTAAAATTCCATAGGATTTCCATCGATTCTTCCTATCTATAGGATTGCAATTCCCTGATTTCCTTCTTAAATATCCTAAATTTTTTTTTAATATTTTACATTTCTTGTTGTTTTAAATTCGTTTTAAATTGTTTTAAATTCGTTTCTTTTTTCGGTTACTCTAACAAACTACTCCTATTCGGCCCAATGGAATCGGCTTTCTTCGTTGCGGAACTTCCTCAGGAAGTTCTTTCAACTTTCTCTCGAAAAGCTAACAAGCCGAGTTTGTATCTTTCTTTCAGATTGCACGCCACTAGATCACGCGAGCTTACTTCCTCAAAATTGAGTCGGCCAATAATAAACTTTAAAGTGAATTTCACAAAAGTCGAACTGCTTAAAGGCTCGGCTATTGTAATTCGACGTTATACGTTCAAACCGCAAGATACCTACATAATTTTTTTCTGTAACTATTGGAACTTTAGTATTAGTAGACCAATAATTGTTTTTTGGTTGATCTCGTATATGGATCAATTTTGAACTCCGTGAACGTTGCGTGTACTATCAAAGAAAGGAAGCCAGCTCGGAAGGGTTAAATAATCTGATAAATCTTGTAACATCGAGAGTAATTCCCAATGGAATGCAAATTATAAAGCGCTAATAAAGCAACATATCACATTGGGAACGCGCGAGACAGCTTTCTCCATTCACTGCTTTGATATAAAATTAACTACAAATAGAGGAAAGCAACACGTGTGTTTCCCCGCACGTTAAAAATCTGTCGTTTCTGGCTCCGCTTTCTCGAAGCGGAGTGCTCGTTCCCGTTCGTTTCCGATCGAGAACCACCACGAAACGAAAACAATGTCACGCGTCGCGAATTTTCAAAGAGCGTTCCGTTTCCCTTTTGAGACAGAGTTACTCGACGAGCAAGGAGCAGAGTCTTCCCTCTCTGTTCCCTGCCTGTTGGAAGAGAAATCGTACAGGTAGAAATAAATATGAAAAAGATATTTTATAAAACAGCGTTTGGACACGAGTTACATAAGAAAGATAAACATTGGCAGAATCGTATATATTCGTAACTCTTACGTAAATTGTGCTATTGGTTCTCTCCTTCCGCCTTTAATAAACGTAAGAAATCGAACATTCGCGATTGATTCGCAGAGAAAACGATTATTTTTTTTATATTTCCTAGACTGTAAATTACCCTAGATCACAAATGATTCTGAGAGATTATGTAAAGGTGAAACGAGGATCGATCGCATTGCAAATAAAATAGGTAAGAAAAGGGAAAAGGGGAAATTTTGGTTTATGCTAATCGCTAGTCTTCAGTTTCGTACGGATGGATTCTGTAAATTGGCGAATAAATAACCATAAAGCGACGTTGTATCGGCGTCAATTTCACACTTTCCATAGTCTCGCCGTTGACATCTTCGCGGTTACGCAATCGCACGTCTTAAAATTTCACCGAAGAAGTCGCAATTAATAGTTAAGTGCGAACACTTTTATTCGCATTCTTCGCGACAACCAAGAGAATAAAGATTTTCAAATACAAAGTATCGTGATATTACTACAATATTGTAATTGAGCAATAAATCACATATATAAAAGATAATATTACGTCGATATTGCATTTCTTCATGAAACTTTCGCAAGTGTCATACTTTTTAATGCTAGAACGCTATCGACGATTAAAGTGTAAAATTTGAAGAAAAACTCATCGAACTTTCTGTCAATTGACTAGTTACTAGTTCCTCTAATTCATTTATTCTTGCAGATTGTTATTACTGAATTAACTTTTAACTGTAAATCAACTATTTTGGCCATTCCAGTGATTGTAATGTCAATTCAAATGACGAAATCTCGACCATTTCAATAATTCATTTATCTCTGTAACTTTCGCGAGACCACCATTTCAAGGATCTACAATTTTCCACTCTCCCAGTTTCCTTTTATCAACTCATCATCATCATTGAGATCTCAGATGAGAAATCAAGACGACATTCCTCTAAAGACAGCACGAACCGCTTTATTTTAGAAGGCTCTAACCGCGTGAAGCGACAAGAGGATAAAAAGGAGGAGAGCTTCGAGAGCGAGATCTGCAAGGACAAGGATGCGGGCGAATGGTTCAGATTGGTGGCAGGGGAGGGTGACAACTGTCGCGACGTGATTCAGTGCACCAGTTCCGGTCTCCAAGCAATCAGGTGTCCCGCGGGACTGTACTTTGACATCGATAAACAGACCTGCGACTGGAAGGATTCGGTGAACAACTGTAAACTGAAGAACAAAGAAAGAAAGGCGAAGCCTCTGCTCTACACCGAGGAGCCACTCTGTCAAGATGGCTCCCTCGCTTGCGGCGACGGCTCTTGCATCGAGAGAGGCCTGTTCTGCAACGGGGAGAAGGATTGCGCGGACGGATCTGACGAGAACATTTGCGGTGAGTTCACAGTGGAGAGAACTCTTCTCCATGATAGAAATTCGATTTCGTAGTTGCAGACTGTCCTTGTTAATTATTCGCTTCCTATTAACTATTCCCGACCTTTTAATCTCGAAAATTGGAAATTCAACGTAAACCAACGCGATACGATTTCATTGAACATACCAACGTACCTATTTTTCTTCAGAAAAAAAAAAAAATTCGTATTTTATCATCCTTCTTTGAAACGAGCCATTTTTCTAGTCACTAGAGAAATCGAGGAAGCTTGATTTTAATTCAATAGAAAAAGAAAACTGTATTCTCCGATCGTGTTTGTTGTTCTTCGATCGGAGCCAGATTTTAAATAACGATTGTCAGGGTATCGTGGGTCGATGAAAAATTACAGACATGGACAACGACCCGAACAGAGCGCCACCCTGTGACCCCACGGTCTGCGTCCTTCCGGATTGCTTCTGTTCCGAGGACGGTACCACGATCCCCGGTGATCTACCTTTCAAGGACGTACCGCAGATGATCACCATCACGTTCGATGACGCCATCAACAACAACAATATCGGCCTGTACAAAGAGATCTTCAACGGGAAACGCAAGAACCCGAACGGTTGCGAAATCAAGGCCACCTTCTTCGTCTCTCACAAGTACACCAACTACTCGGCTGTCCAGGAAATGCACAGGAAAGGACACGAAATCGCCGTTCACTCTATCTCGTAAGAAAACATGCCTAGATGTCCCTTCCTCGAGTTTTCCCCAATTTCTCGTCGCACCACGCAAGTGCGCAAAGTCTCTTCAAATTTCAAAGAGTATCAAATTATCTCGCAGTGACCGATCGCCACAAACAGATAATTACATTAACGATATTTAATTGGCGTTAATTGTGGGATAAACGTGCTTGCGTTTCAAGTCACAACGACGACGAACGTTTCTGGTCGGACGCGACAGTGGACGACTGGGCTAAAGAAATGGCTGGCATGAGGATCATCGCGGAGAAGTTTGCTAATTTGACGGACAACAGCGTGGTCGGTGTGAGGGCACCGTACCTCAGAGTCGGTGGTAACAATCAGTTCACGATGATGGAAGAACAGGCATTCCTCTACGATTCCACCATCACCGCGGCCTTGAACAACCCGCCGCTGTGGCCTTACACGATGTACTTCAGAATGCCACATCGTTGCCACGGGAATCTTCAACACTGTCCCACGAGGTAATGTACAAATTTCCTACAATTTCCAAGTGATTGGAAAACCGAATTACTTCGATCCGATTAAAAACTTTTAACAACGATTGCGCTGATGGTGAATTCTGAATACAAGTTTGTAGCTCGAAATAGTCGATCCAATTAAAATCCGGCCAAGAACGTTTAAAGAACAATTGGGACCCGAATCGAGCTGTTACACTGAAATAAATATATCAAGAATCATTCCATCTCCCTCTATCTATATAATTAATGTCGTAACATTCCTCGTTTTTAATATCACGTCAGAACATTTCGAATCAACGAAGCAGCTACGCTTTCGCAACAAACGAAACGCCAAATGAAACAGTAGCAGCTTGAGTCATTCGCTTCACCTATCGAGTGCCAAATTTCCTGTGCAGGTCGCACGCAGTCTGGGAGATGGTGATGAACGAGCTGGATCGTCGCGAAGACCCACAGAACGACGAGTACCTGCCCGGCTGTGCCATGGTAGACTCGTGCAGTAACATCCTGACCGGCGACCAGTTCTACAATTTCCTGAACCACAACTTCGACCGCCACTACGAGCAAAATCGCGCTCCCCTGGGCCTCTACTTCCACGCAGCTTGGCTGAAGAACAATCCCGAGTTCCTGGACGCGTTCCTCTATTGGATCGACGAGATCTTGTCCAATCACAACGACGTTTACTTCGTGACGATGACCCAGGTGATCCAGTGGATCCAGAATCCTCGCACGATAACGGAATCGAAGAGTTTCGAGCCGTGGAAGGAGAAGTGCGTGGTCGACGGACCTCCCGCTTGCTGGGTCCCCCACACTTGCAAACTGACGTCGAAAGAGGTACCTGGAGAGACCATCAACCTTCAGACCTGCGTGCGTTGCCCCAACAACTACCCGTGGGTGAACGATCCGACCGGTGACGGGTTCTTCTAAACCCGCCGCGTCGCGTTCCTCCTTCTCGTCTAAGTCAAACCCTTTGGTTCTCCTCTTGCCTGTCGTTTTGGGCGTTTGATCTTCCTTTCTATCCTTTCAATCCCCACTTCCTCAGCTCCGTCCTACCATTGGTCGATCATCCTTCACGAGTTTTTCACGGTGGACGTGGTCTCAATCGGGGAACACGGCCGGCACGGAGCTTCGAAGAATATAATCGTTTCCGTCGCGACGAAAGGACAGTTGTTTCAAGATTTGAAGCAAAGAAGCCTTCCGGTAGACTGTTTTCGCAGAAACACGAAATGGATAGTCGAAAGACTACGTGACTGCTGATAAAGTGGAGAACCCCGAGCCCTGCCGATCGGTTCCCCGATCGAAAACCGTCCATCACGTCACCAACGATCTGTGATAAATTCCGAGCGGCTCGAGATCTTCAGCGACGACCAGGACGACAAACGCGACGACGAACGACGAGACGAGCGAATTATATTATATTTCTCCTTTTCCTCTCTTTTCTCTCCCAAGACCACGAACGATTTCTCCCCGGCCCCTGACGAAGCCTGACCTGGAGAGAAACGACGCGAAGGAGCACGAATAAAGAAGAAAAAGAAGAAGAAAAAAAAGAAAAGGTAAAACAAGGATTCTTATCGCGTGTAATATATATATATATATATATATATATATATATATATATATA